TGGAAAAATTGTTCTTCCACAAAATCAGTCTCTGGTGCCAAAAAGCTTAGGGATCACTGTCAATCACTCTAAAAGAGGAGCTGAGGCCCAGAATGCGGCCTCAGAGACAGGATCAACCCAAATCTGCCTTTGAAGGCTTGGTGGGGGGAAGAGGGGTACAGGTCCCCAAAGACTGAGTGTGAGTTCCACAAGCTGGAGGAGGAAGGGTCAAACCCACTGGGGTCCAACTCACTGCAGAGACACATGGTCTACTCTGCTACCCCATATACTCATACCCCGATATCAGGTGGGGATACAGGCTCAGTACCTGGATGATGCTATTGCCGAGGTCAGGGGAGGCAGGTCTGAGACCAGCATCTCTCCAAACAGAGGACTACCCACACTCGAGGTGGCTTTCTTCTCATCTAGCCTCTTAGACAGTTTTCACAGTCCTAGGTTCCCAGCACACACACACACACACCCCTCCTTGAAAGAGATCAGACATCAAGATATCAGTTGAAAAGGGGGTAGTTTTGGTCCGCCCACACCCTGCCCCAGTCTTTTCCACTCCTTCAGCTGTTGGTTTTCATTTCAGGTGTATGTGTTCATTTTTGCCACTCTGCATGCCAGTGTCGCCTGCATTGGGAGCTTGGAGTCTCAACCACTGTACCACCAGGGATGTCCTTCCTGTTTGTTTTGTTATTTTATGGGGGGGGGATGTCAAATATTAATATTCATCAGAATCACCCAGGGCAGTTGTTCTCAAACTGGGGCTGGGAAACCAGCATTGGCATCACCTGAGAGCTTATGAGAAACAGATTCTCAGACGCCACCTAGAACTCCTCAGTCACAAAATGTGATTCACTTTAATAACCCCTCTAGGCGATTCTGACATGCTTGTTTGAGAGTGCCTAACATAAGACTAGTACAGGTTCCTGAACACCATTCACAGAGATTCTGGATCAATCAGAATGATCAAATATTTTGCCCATCTTTGCAGCTTCTCCGAGGGTAATGCCCTTCTGGTCCCATCCAGGCTTCAGCTTGTTTCCTGACCATCCCCTCTACCTTATTGGGTTCACCTGGGCTTGTGGTCAACCTCTCAGTTCATTTCAGTCACTCAGTCGTGTCTGACTCTTTGTGACCCCATGGACTGCAGCATGCCGGGGTTCCTTGTCCATCACAAACTCCTGGAGCTTACTCAAACTTATATCCATTGGGTCAGTGATACCATCCAGCCATCTCATCCTCCTTCGTCCCCTTCTCCTCCTGCTGTCAGTCTTTCCCAGTATCAGAGTCTTTTCAGATGAGTCACTTCTTCACATCAGGTGGCCAGAGTATTGGAGTTTCAGCTTCAACATCAGTCCTTCCAGTGAACATTCAGGACTGATTTCCTTTAGGATAGACTGGTTGGATCTCCTTGCTGTTCAAGGGACTCTCAAGAGTCTTCTCCAACACCACAGTTCAAAAGCATCAGTTCTTCAGTGCTCAGCTTTCTTTATGGTCCAACTCTCACATCCATACATGACTACTGGAAAAACCATAGCCTTGACTAGATGGACCTTTATTGGCAAAGTAACGTCTTTGCTTTTTAGTATGCTGTCTAGGTTGGTCATAGCTTTTCTTCCGAGAAGCAAGCATGTTTTAATTTCATGGCTGCAGTCACCATCTGCAGTGATTTTGGAGCCCCCAAAAATAAAGTCTGTCACTGTTTCCCCATCTATTGCCATGAAGTGATGGGACCAGAGGCCATGATCTTAGTTTTCTGAATGTTGAGTTTCAAGCCAGCTTTTTCTCTCTCCTCTTTCACTTTCATTAAGAGGCTCTTTAGTTCCTCTTCACTTTCTTCCATAAGTGTGGTGTCATCTGCCTATCTGAGGTTATTGATATTTCTCTGGCAGTCTTGACTCCAGCTTGTATTTCATCCAACCTGGCATTTCGCATGATGTACTCTGCATATAAGTTAAAAAAAACAGGGTGACAATATACAATCTTGACTTACTCCTTTCCCAGTTTGGAATCAGTCTGTTGTTACATGTCCAGTTCTAACTGTTGCTTCTTGACCTGCATACAGATTTCTCAGGAGGCAGGTAAGGTGGTCTGTTATTCCTGTCTCTTTAAGAATTTTCCACAGTTTATTGTGATCCACACAGTCAAAGGCTTTGGCGTAGTCAGTAAAGCAGAAGTGGATGTTTTTCTGCAACTCTTGCTTTTTCGATGATCCAATAGATGTTGGCAGTTTGATCTCTGATACCTCTCTGCCTTTTCTAAATCCGCTTTTGAACATCTGGAAGTTCACGGTTCACATACTGTTGAAGCCTGGCTTGGAGAAATTTGAGCATTACTTTGCTAGCATGTGAGATGAGTGCAGTTGTGCGGTGGTTTGAACACTCTTTGACATTGCCTTTCTTTGGAATTGGAATGAAAACTGACTTTTTCCAGTCATGTGGCCACTGCTGAGTTTTCCAAATTTGCTGGCATATTGAGCGCAGCACTTTCACAGCATCATCTTTTAGGATTTGAAATAGCTCAACTGGAATTCCATCACCCCCACTTGCTCCATCACCCCATCATAGTGATGCTTCCTAAGGCCCAGTTGACTTCACATTCCAGGATGTCTGGCTTTAGGTGAGTGATCACACCATCATGATTATCTGGGTAGTGAAGATCTTTTTGTACAGTTCTTGTGTGTATCCCTCCCCCCCCACCTCTTCCTATTATCTTCTGCTTCTGTTAGGTCCATACCATTTCTGTCCTTTATTGTGCCCATCTTTGCATGAAATGTTCCCCTGGTATCTCTGATTTTCTTGAAGAGATCTCTAGTCTTTCCCATTCTATTGTTTTCCTCTATTTCTTTGCATTGATCGCTGAGGAAGGCTTTCTTATCTCCCCTTGCTATTCTTTGGAACTCTGCATTCAAATGGGTGTATCTTTCCTTTTCTCCTTTGCCTTTTAGTTTCTCTTCCTTTCCCAGCTATTTGAAGGCCTCCTCAGACAATCATTTTGCTTTTTTACATTTCTTTTTCTTGGAGATGATCTTGATCACTGCCTCCTGTACATTGTCACGGACCTCTGTCCATAGTTCTTCAGGCACTCTGTCTATCAGATCTGCCATTTCCTATCTAACGTGCTCTCTGAACCTCAGTGATTGCATCTGTAAAATGGAAGCAATAATACTGACCATGTGGACTTCTCAGGGTTAGAGAGATGTGTGCATAGCGTCTGGTGCAGCTCCTGACACCTGGCTCCCTTAACAAAGCACATAGTCTAGGGGGCTTAATAAACAACAGAAGTTTATTTATCACAGCTTTGGAGACTGGAAGTCCCAGATCATTGTGTCAACGTGCTGGGGTTCTGGTGAGAGTCTTCTTCCTGGTGCAGAATGCCAACTTCTCATATCATCACATGGGGGAGAAATTCTTTGGAGTCCCCTTGTAGAGCACTAATCCCATTCCTGAGCTTTCCGCCTCATCTTCCCCCAAAGCCCCACCTCCAAATGCCTTCGCAGTAGGGTGTAGAGTTTTAACATATGAATGGGGAGTGGGGCACATTTGTTCCCTAATACTTGGAAGTAGGCCGTAACTTTCAGCTGCCAGATCCCTATGCCTGTTGTCCTGGACCCAGTTTCCTGCTAGATGCAGTGGATGTTTATCAGGAAAACAGCCCCTGGAAGGATTTGGTAGTCAACCTTCCCCATTCTTGGATCAACCTGACTGACTAAATCAAGTATGACAAGCATGTAAAGAGTGGGCCCTGGCAGAGGCCGTTCTGAGCCCTGTGACCCTTCCCAGTCCTCAGCGTCCTGCTCCAGGGCCCTGTACAGTCAGCACTGTTTGGGTCCCTTCACTCTCCCGCTGCCCCTCCTGCCGCTCCTTTGCCCAGGATCTAGTTGCAGACAATACAGGAAGATGTCAAGTGTCCCTGGTGTCTCCGCAGTAAAGAATCCGCCTGCAGAGCAGGAGACCTGGGCAGGGCCCTGGCAGCCTACTCCAGGATTCGTGCTGGCAAGTCCCGTGGACAGAGGAGCCTGGCGGGCTACAGTCCGGGGGTCCCAAGGAGTCCGACACAACTGAGTGACTGAGCCCCCAGCAGCACATGAGGGTGTCAGAGGCGGGATTCCTGTCTAGATTGGGATGTTTGGTGAGCACTGTGTAGGACCCATCCCAAAGCTCTGACCCTGGGGTTGATCCAGCCCTTCCTGACCAGATGCCCAGAAAGTTGCTCTGAAGTCTTTGTGAACAGACATTTCTTCAGAAAAGTCATTCTTAATAGAGGGATCCTCTTCCAACACAATTCCACCCAGTGCCTTTCTCAGTGTATTCCTGAAACATCAAGGCTGCCTTCGAGAATATAGTCTTCAAACAAAATCCTGTCCCTTCATTGGGTATAGATTGACTCGTTAGCTCCTTATGGTTTGAAATTAGTTTGTCTGCAGTGATACTAACTTGATTGTACCTCTTTCCCTCCTTCCTCTCTCCCCTCTCTGTCCCCCTCTACCACACACACCCACACCCATATCCCCACACCCACACATTACTTGAAAAAGTATTCCTGAACTCAGAATAAAAGCACCATGGCTCCCACTTGCTGTAGGAAAGACAGTCTTGAGTGCAAGTTCACTCTTCATTCCAAAATGGTACAAAATGCTTTCTTGATATTTTAGTTGGTTGTTACTATTGGTGGCTGACTGCCAGAGTAAACACAACTGACGTTAGCCTTAACGTCTCTCTCACACAAAAACGTGTGCGGTGAGTAATGCAGATCAGGCGACTGAAGGGTGAGGAGGTGCTTCCCATGCAGAGATTAGACTCGGCAGGATGGACGAATCAGTCACCCGGTGTGTGTTAGGAGATTGTGAGGAGGCATCCACACTTGTCAGGGATTTGTCTGGTTGCATCATCTTACAGCTAAATTGAGTGTTCTATGAAGTCCAAACTGCTCTTAGCTAGGAAACAGTCTTTCCCATTGTCATCACTGAGGCTCATGAGCATGAGCCGATTTTGAGAATGTTCCAGGGACAGTCAAAACACGGAGTCTTCCAGGGTCTCAAATCCAGCCTGCTCCACATAACTTATGACTTCAATTTCTGTTTCACTGGAACCAGTTTTCTGCAAAACAAAGCATCCTTCTTTAGATGTTTTCTAGAGTACTTTTCCATTCTTTGAATTTCTTTACAGTTGGCTTCAAGTCATTTTGCTCATAAAAAAATAGTAAATGTTCACTGAAGAAAATACGGAAAATGAAGTAGGAAGAAGACCAAAAAACACCCATAAACTTACCTCCCAAGCACAGTCCACTGTCTCTTCAGCCCTTTTCTCTAGCTGTTGAGTTATCTTTACAGTTACATGAAGAGCTTTATAAGTTGATTGCTTTTTGTGCAACATCATATCGTATTTTAAATTACGTACAGCCGGCCCTTTGTATTCATGGGTTTCACTCTTTTATATGAGGGGCTCTGGCACCTGCAGACGTTGGTACCCACAGAATCCCCTGGAACCATTCCCCTTGCATATGCTGAAGCATGATTGTATGTTTTTTGGCTGTATCATTTTGCATAGCTTCATCGTACACTATTCACAGTTTACTATAGTCTTCCCCTAAATTGGGGTATTGTGTCCTATTTTGGCTATTATAAATAATGCTAATATTAATTATAAAATTCATGACCAAAAATAAACCTCCTATAAGAGATCGTATTCCTCCGCCTCCTTTACTCATCCAGTGTATTTTTTTTCATTTATATTTTTAACTGAAGTATATTTGATTTACAATGTAGTGGTAATTTCTGCTTCACAGCAAAGTGACTCAGTTATACAAATACATATGTTGTTTTTATATTGTTTTCCATTATGTTTATCACAGGATATTGAATATAGTTCCTTGTGCCATATGTTAGGGTCTTGTTTATCCATTCTAAATGTAACTGTTTGTATCTACCAACACCAGTCTCCCAGCCCATCCATCTCCCTCATCTCCTCCCTCTCCCTAAAGTCTTTTCTCTATGTATATGAGACTGTTTCTGTCTTGTAGATATGTTTATATGTGCCATATTCTAGATTCCATGTGTAAGTAATATCATATGAGATTTCTCTGTTTCTTATTTCACTTAGTATATTAATCTCTGGTTGCATCCATGTTGCTGCAAATGGCATTATTTCATTTTTTTTATGGCTGGATAGTATTCCATTGTATATATGTACCACATCTTCTTTATCCATTTATCTGTCGATGGGCATTTAGGTTGCTTCCATGTCTTGGCTATTGTAAATCATGCTGCTATGAACATAGGGGTGCGTGCATCGTTTTGGATTAAGAGTTTTGTCTGGATATATGCCCAGAAGTGAGATTGCTAGATCATGTGGTAATTCTATGTTTAGTCTAAGGAACCTCCGTACTTCTTTTGACAGTGTCTATACCAGCCTACAAGTCCCACCAACAATGGAGAAGTCATTGAGCATGTTTTTGATATGGACTCTGCACTGGCAAAGGAGCCTGGTGGGCTATGATCCATAGGGTCGCAAAGAGTTGAACACAACTGAAGTGACTTAGCACGATGTTTCACTGGACACCATGTGATGCATTGAATATGCAGTGATGAACCAAGCAGCCACGCTCTCTGCCTTATGTACTTTGAGTGGTTTGTTATCTACTTAATCTTGGGAGGAACTCTCCCAGTTTCCAGTGTAGAAACAAAGAATGGCTGGAAACCAGTCTTTACCAAATGGAAAGCTTAGAATAAGGTTTTTTTTTTCTTTTTAAGTGAGTCTTTTTTATTGTTCAGCCAGCTCATCCCCCTCCTTTCTCCCTCCCTCTCCTTCCCTGAGTCTCTTGAGTGTAAAAAAATAATTTCTGACTCAGGCCTGGACAAGCAAAAGTGTGTGTAATGGCCTCTCTAAGATGATAAGCCACCCTCTGAATCCCAGGACTCTGGGTACCAGCATCAAGTTCAGAGGAGCCAGCAGTGATGAAAAGCAGAGGGTTTCCTTTTCCATCAGTGGAAGGCTTCCTGGTGGTTTGTCAATAGCTTTAAAGCCCCCCCCCCCATTGTCATTGTAGCAGAGGTCCCCAAAGTGGATTGGACAGGCTATGCTTTGGACAGAGGCTGTGATTGGACAGAGGCCGGGAAGCCGCTGCCTGGGGCCCAGCGGTGGGCAGTTCTGTACTGAGTCACTTGCTCCCCCAGGTGGAGGGTGTTGGCGGTAGAACTGGCAGCAGAAGGTGACACTTCATTTTCCCACTTCTCCCTGCTCCTCCCCCCAACCCCTCAGCCCTGCCCCATCCTCTTCCCCCACCCCGACTCACAGATCTGTTTTTCACCTGACCCACTGCAGTGTGGAGGAGGGAATGGCCACCCACTCCAGTATTCTTGCCTAGAAGATGGACAGAGGAGCCCGGTGGGCTGCAGTCCATGGGGTCACAAAGAGTCGGATACGACTTAGTGACGCGTGCGTACACACACACACTCTCTCACTCCACCACCACCACCCCAAATGTGAGAGGAGAGTGTATTGTCCAGAGGAGCAGCCTGGCAGTGATGGGCTCTGACATGAATCCTTTGCTTATTCTGAAACCAACCTGTCTACCTGGAGTTGTTCTTTTTGCATACTTGACTTGATTTTAATTAACAACAAACTTAAAACATACACAATAAACTGCTACACCTGTTTCTTTTACCAACCTCAGAATATGCAAGGAAATTTTGGGGGTCCTGAAGGGAAATGAAATACCGGCATTAATATGTGCCATTAAGAGCCCAGGACAAACAAACAACTTGAGTCTGCTGCTTAAACCACAGGTGCTTTCCAGGCATGACTGCGCCAGAGTGAGAAGGGATCCACAGCACGGATTCACATGAAGCAAAACAACTTTCCCGGGGCGGGGCGGTGGGGGGGGCGCACACTCGCCTTCCAGAAAAGCTGTGGGTTACCAAGAGCAAGCCAGAGGGTCCCCTGGTAAATGAGACCACAGGGGTGGGACTGAGCACAGGTGTGGGTCTTGGGCCAGCCTTGATCCTCCGCTTCGCTGGGTCAGTAACTGTCATTGGCTCAGTCACCCCAGACACCCAAACTGCTAACTGTAAAGGTCACTGCCTCCTGCAGTGATCCATTTTGGTGAGTGTCTGATCGACTCATCTTCCCCTACAGCTAGTCACCAGTTGACTTATCCAACCATGAGTCACTTTATCAAAGAGAAAACTAAACTTGTTAAGAAAACTCCTTGATGAGGGTCTGCAGTCTGCAACCCATGGACTGAGTCTGGCTCACTGCCTGCTTTTGTAAATAAAGTTGTATTATCCAGAGCTGTTTGTATATTATCTATGGTTGATTTCACAGTATAATGACTGCATGATAAACATTTGGCCCTTAAACGTATACTATCTGGCTCTTTATAGAGAATCCCCTGGCCCCAATGTAAATATCCATTCCGTTTAAGGACAGATTTGTCAAGCAACTGAACAGCACAAGACCTTGGTGACAGAAGTTAAATAAAATCTAAATAGATAAGGTGAGATGTTTGCATTTACAGAATGAAAGACTCATTACTGGTAAGATGTTCCTTCTCTCCAAAATCACCTGATCAGGATCCCAGCAGCATTTTTTTTATTGAAATTGATAAACTGTCTCTGAAGTTTGTGCTAAGTCACTTCATTCATGTCCAACTCTGTGTGACCCCATGGACTGTAACCTGCCAGGCTCTTTGTCCATTGAATTCTCCAGGCAAGAATATTGGAGTGTGCTGCCATGTCATATGAAAATAAAAAGGACTTGGAATAACCAAAACAACTTGTAACAGTCATGTTTGGAAGTTTTAAACTACCTGGTCTTCAGGTTTACAATAAAGCTTCAGTTTCAGGACAGTATTGTATAAGCATACAGATAGACAGTCATCGAGAAATAGACATACCCATGGACAGCTTATTTTCAGCAAAGAGACCAAGTCAATTCACTAGAGAAAGGATTACTTCTCCCACTTAATGCCACAACAACTGAAAGCATGTTGATAAGTGAGTGAGTGATTACACCTAAGTGCTCTGAGTGCATAATGACACCTACAAAAATATATTTGGGGAAATCATTGGCCTGCTCTATGGTTCTTTGTATTTAGAAACTAGGAAAAATTCCTCTGAAAAACTTAGGGTAATCAGGGGCAGAAACATGAATTCTTAAAACGTCAGAGTTAAACAGGTCATTGGACACATCTATGCCTGTTACTGTACAGAAGAGGAAGTCACATCTCCTGGGGTTGAAGGAATTGCCCAAGGCCAGTTAAAAGATGGCTGATAGAAAATAAAAATTCAGGTTTTCTGACTGGTGAGGCCCCTCATAATTGAGTAGGGCCTTTGCAATATTCAGAGACTGTAATGAACATGTATTAAAGCAGCTGAAGAGCTGAGTGACTAAAGCAGCATGAAGACATCCGGCCTCCTGGGTAAGAGCCCTTTCTTGTAACACGGAAAACGAGTGACCCAGTGACAGGACCCGGTGGTCCCTGGGCAGATGTGACATTAGAGAACCTTCAGTATTACCTCATTGTTGATGGTTACTAAGAAATCGTTAGTATTACTTTTTGGCACTGGAACAGGTGGAAACAACTTGGTCCATAAGTGGCATCTGAAAACAGTAAAGGAGGGAGATAGATGAGCAAACACAGCCTTTCTTGTGCTTTAGTAGCTACTCTAAACGTTGACCTGGTTAATCCCCAAACTGCCAACTTGTAAATTCAAAATCTTCATTGACAGAGACTTCCAAGTACCTACTTTGTAATAATAGTTGAAGATCTAGGGGTACTGCAAGGCTTTGCTGTGACTTCTGATCCAAGACAGACAAAATGGCAGCTGCTTCATGTCGGTGTGTGTCATCAGACCTGACTGACAGTGACGGACGTCGGGTGTGTGGGGTTCCAGGTCACCTGTGACGCTGATGTGCCCTCCTCCTGTGTGTTGGTTCTCGGTCTGCTTTTTTCCCTCTTTTCTGAACTGCCACCACCACCACCCCCCGGTATAGATGCTATCTTATATAACATTTAAAATAGTGAAGCTGTTTAAGATAAGGCATTTTCTTTTTTAAGGGTTTTTGTTTTTGATGTGGACCATTTTTTTGTCTTTAACTTGTTACAATATTGCTTTTTTTTTTTTTTAACAAAAATGTTTTAGTTTTCTGACTATGAGGCCTGTGGGATCTTAGCTCACTCATCAGGAATCAGACCCACACCCCCTGCACTGGAAGGCAAAGTCTTAACCACTGGACCTCCAGGGAAGTCCCCTAAAAGTCATTTTCTAAACTATGAAAAAGCTAAGATAGAACATGTTCTGCAGCCTCCTAAGTGGCACTTGACCTTCCTAGATGCCAGAAGGGTTGAGAAGTTCCTATGGGGGCTTTGGCAGGCTCTAGGATTGGTTGCCAAATCTGTAAGATACTGTAGAATGTGGGAACGATCGGCTGCTCTGGGGCCAGATAACAGAGGGCCAGGCCAGGAGTTGATACCTCATAATTGGGGATCATAACACAGGAGGCACTGTGGTGACTTCACCATCCAGTGGGCTGCCTTCCAGTCCCTGAGGTGTAACAGACATGCCCTCTGGGCTCAACAGAAGCAACCAAGGACTGAGTGGAAGACAGTCAAGGAAGCAAAAGAACACAGATGTAAAACTTTCTCAGAAATTAGCAGACTGTTGGCAAATTCAAGAAGGGGACATCCAGTGACTGAGGCTATATTGAGCTCTGTCCAGTTTCTGTAAATCACCTACTGTTTCCCAGTTTTTTATTTAGTCCACACTCATCTTGGAAAGGCTGTCCAGGAAGAAACAAAAATACTGTAGATTCCACCTGTTAACAAGAGCCCTCCATCCAGTGGATACCTGGCAAGAATGCAATTCAATATTCAGATCCCAGTGAAAGCACCCAAAGTAAAAAGAATACCTACATTCTGCAAATGAGTGAAAAAATTAACAAGATGAAGCAGATGGTCATCATAACTGCAATAAGGAACCACTCTCTCCAGGGCTTCTGATCATCCTTCCCTAATGAAAAAAAAAGAAAGAAAAATCACAACTAGAAATAGCAGTAGGTAAAAGAAATGACTACAGTAGGGCATCAGGAGGCCTGGGTCTGAGTTGCAGGTGCTGAGTGATGCTTAACTTTCCCGAGTCTTAGATTTCTTATCTGTAAAATGGGGTGCAGGGTGACATCCATCTCACAGAGCTGATATGAGAGTGAAATGAAACAATGGCAATGAGACCATTTTTAATCTTAAAACATTATTTAATCACTGAACAGGTATTTATGGAATATATTCTAGATAATATTCCACCTGGATCTTGGAGTTTAGAGCTTTGGGTGAGTAGTAGGGATTTTAGATGAAAAAGCTATAAAAATGTAAGCCTAATCAGTAACCTAATTGCATTGCAATCAAAATATCTTACAAAGTTGGAGTTTTAGAGGAGGTACAGTGTGGAATAATACTTGTAGTAACAACCAAGTTATCAAACTCTGTCGAAACTTCGACAGTCTTGTTGTTTCGTTGCCAAGTCGTGTCCCTGGACCGCAGCGCACCAGGCTTCCCTGACCTCCACTATCTCCCAGAGTTTGCTCATATTCATGTCTATTGAGTTGGTGGTGTTATCTAAACATCTTATCCTCTGCCACCCTCTAGTCCTCAATCTTTCCCAGCATTTATAGTCTTACAATTTACAATCTTAATTGTCCTCAAAGCAGGTCTTGGAATCATGTCCATTTCGTAGATAGAGACGTAGATGCTACCTGCCCTGATTCAGTACAGAAAGTGTAAATGCCATCCGATTGAAGTTAAATTTCCTTCTAATCTACATTCAGGGGGGATGGGCTTTAATGATAGCTTTGGGGTAGGTGTGTGTGTGTGTGTGTTCCCATTTAAGGTACTGGAACTGAGTTCAAGAAAAACCAAATGGTGTTTAGGGCATAATCTGCTTACTAAACTTCCTGATTCATTTTTAGAGAAGATGAAAATATTGAGTTATCTCTTGAATATACTGTCCTTTCTGGGTTTGTTTATTCCTTTATTCACTCATCTAGTCAATATTTATTGAGCTCCTATTGTGCATTGGACTCTATACACCTTGCCAGGAGACAGGGTTAAAAGAACCCATTTGAGACTTCCTGTGGTTGAGGGAAGAACTCTCTCAGTAAATAAAGACACAGGTGATTAAGTGACAGCAGCTCTGAAAACAGGGGTGAGACAGACACACCTCAGCAGGAGGTCCTAATCCTCAGTTTGGCATTAACAGTTGCTTTAATAAAATGAGGAGTAAATGTAAGTGCAATTTTCAAGTCCTTGTAAATATCTTAAGACTTGGGAAAAACCCCAAAATACATAAAACTCAAATCTTTCAAGGTGTCAGGATGGAGAGGTGTCTTGAGGATTTAATGCTTGTGATTCAATTGTTGCCTTGATCTCTTGCACTTTTTTTTTTTTTTTTTTTTTTGCCTCCTGAGAACTCTTACTTGGTGTTGATCCTGTGTCTCCCAAAAGCTTTAATCTCTCCTCCTTCATCTTTCCCCTTCTGCTTTCAAATATTCATAGAACTCTTTTCCTTGAATAAGCCATTACTTTGCTCTGCCATCTCTCTCAGTGATCATCAAATACCATCTTACTTTATTTCCTAGACTCATTTGTTGAATAAGAAATTCAGGCAGTTTCATTTTCCCATCTCAGAAACCACTTTTTAAAATCCCGGCTGACTTTCTCCTGGTTGAAGCCAAAGAATGGTTGGTTTCTTTTTGCAACTTTATCTTCCCTGACCTTCCTCTGAATTTCAGACTTGATGGTTATGCCCACCTGGAAACCAAGCCACTGAATCCTCTACCCAAATCTTCCTCTGCTTCAATATAATTTCCTTCCCTCCTTCTTAATTTCAGCTGGCCCTCTCAGCTCAATCTTGATCTCTTGGTGTTTTTCCACTGTGATCTATTCTTTGAACTTTGAAAAGTTTGTTGAGCACAGCTTCATCTTTTAATTCCATGCCATCCTCTCCTGCATCTTTATTCCTGCCTGTCTCTTGGTCTGGATCTGAGATTGCCCATAGGTGGAACCCACTGGGATGTGCCTCAAAACTGACAACATTCAAAACGAAACTCACATCCTTCTTCGCATCAAAGCAACTTCCCTCATGACCTCTCCGTTTTGGTCTTCACTCTTCCAAGTTCCCAAACTGGAACCCTTGGAAGTTACTTTGATTCTCCTCATTCACTGTAGACCCCCGCCTCCTTTCCTCACTGGTTCAGTTTACATCAGTGCCTCTCACCCTACCACAGTTGTGAGAGAGGCAGGCTTTTGTTTATGGCTCAGTTTACACCAGTGCATCACCCGCAACCATAACTGTGAGAGAGGCAGGCTTTTGTCTTTGCCTGGTCTTGTGGTGAAGGTGGCCGTTCCGGGCCTCGGCTTCTTCATCTGTAAAAACAAGGGAATTGAGATAGGACCCTTAAGAACACTCTCAATCCAGCACATTTTCCAGTGCCCTGACTCCATCCAGGGCACCACCATTTTGTGTATCCTGATCTCTCACATAATTAATTTTGGTATATGTTCATTGGTGAAAGTAGTAGAAGAGAACCAGAAAGAGAAGTCAGCAGTAGCTGGCAGTCACCAGTAGGTTATTTTCTTTACACATTTTTACATTCACTTTTTAGGCGCCGGACACTCTGCCAGGGCTTCCTGTGTCATCTCCGCTGAATTCTCAAAGCAGCGCTTCAGGGTGGGCGCTGCTGTCCCATCTGATGGGTGGAGGAGCCGCAGCAGGGCCGGGCGGAGTCGAGGAGCCGGGGGAGGAGCCAGGACGTGCTGAGCGGCCGTGCTCTCAGCCCGGTGCAGGGACCCGTCCCAGGCCCAGAACGCCCTGCATGGGCAGGCGCTTCACAGAGCACATCCTGAACACTCCCCTGTTGCAGCAGCGTCCTCTTCCCAGCTGGATGCCGCGTCCCTGCAGGGCAGCCCTCTTGTGGTGTCGCTTCTCAGTCGCTGGAGGCGGCTGTGTTTTCAGGCTGTGTCTCCAGGAGAAGGAGGCTGCCTTGCATGCCCCTGCTCCTGTGGTTCCCTAGGCTTTAGTCGGGACCGAATCACTGTAAGTGACTCACTCTGACCATGGCATGTAAAAAGAAGTTTCATGTGTGTACAGCTGTTTTACACATAGGCAGTAGCCACAGTTTGTAAAATGATGAAAAACAGAGGCTCAGAAAGACACACCTTTTGTTTTCCCAAATACCACAGAGACTCCGTTGTTCTGGGATTAGTTTTCAGTTCTCTGGCTTGTCACCAGGTGTCCTGTTGAACCTAGTTTTTACTGCACATGGCTAATATAAAGAGCAACTGGGATGAACTAGAATACCATCAAATCAAATAGTGTCTCACTGTATTTCCCACTCTGATTTCATGAATAAGGGACCCTGCCTGCCTCACTGCCCCATTTCTGAAGCTCACCGTTCCACACAGTTGAGCCGTTAGGCAAGTCCCCTGACAAGCACATTCAGAAATTCCACACTAGTCCACATGGGATATAAATTTAGCAAGGGTTATGTCAGGAGCAGACTTCTTCCTTTTGTCAGTGGGTTAGACAGGTGAAACTTGAGTCCTGCAGGAAGAATGAGCAGTGTTGTAAATATTATTAGGGCGGCACACTGGGTCCCATTGGTGTCTCAAATTGTGCAATTCACTGCAAGCCATGTGTCAGGGCCTGATAAGAGTGCCGTTTACTTGTGAATGTGGTTACACAAATCTTTTCAGTTAAACTACACTCTTGCTGTTCCCTTCAGTACTCACATTGATAAGTGAAGATGCTCTATGAATTAGAAAAATTTAGAGAGACAACTGATTTTATTTCTTTTGATCAAAAAAAGTTGGTGATGCCTGCAAGGTGAGAAGCAGTCATGGTTCCTGCCTGGAAGAGGTGGCACTTGAGTCATTTCTCCCCTCCTGGCTTCCGCAGTGTCCCAGCTTTGTTTTAGAACCATTCCCTTACCACCACCTGAAGACAGAACTAACCCAGACAGCAGAGCTGAGGTCAGCTTTTCTTCAAAGAAAACCTAAACTGGCAGATAAATTTAGTGCAGGAAAAAGCGTTCACATATTCACTGCCAAATGAAAACTACCTGGGGATTATCTAATGTGACATGATTTCTTCACGCAGAAATGAAGTTGAGAGTCAGTTATGTGACTAAATGAATTAAAGACAGCACCTACTCTGTCTTCGCTGAAAGTTGAGTAGGGGAACAGTCCCCACTCACAGTATATATCCTTCGGGTCAAAATGAAGAAGAATTTTACTTCTGTAAAAGTTCAGAGGCCCCTCAGTACCTCATTCATTTGAATTTGGGGTCTCTGACATTGGAAATTTTCTGAGGAACAAGTATTTCCAGGTAACTTGAATGTTTTCTCTGACTCAAGAATGACTTTTGTGCCATTGAAACGGAAGCCACAAATGTTTCTTTTCAAGAAATTGATGAGCACTGTTTGGTTATGCAGAGGTGAGCTTTACAAAGAGGAAGTCGCAAAGCCTGTCCTGCTCAGGAGGAGAAGCAGTTTAGGCTCTGTACCTTATTCTAGGATGTTCTCCCAATATTGACAACTTGGAGCATTTGGGAGCTCAAGCTGTCTGGTGTCTTCAGTTTCTGACATCTCAGCCATTCAGCCTGGAGAATAAGGGAGCTAAAGAAATTTCTGCACATGTTGTATGATCTGGAAGTGTATGGTGAGAAAGGGAGAGGGGGGGAATAGATAGAATGGTGGTTGAAGAGACCCAGACCCTGGACCCACAAGTCCCAGCTCTGCCTCTGGCTGCTCTCAGAGCAAATCTTCCCCCTGTGTCAAATCTTCCCCCTGCTGATGCTATAGCCCCACTTGTTCTTAAATTCTGTGATCTTTATGGTTCAGACTGAGAACTCTTAGACAATCAGTTTGCTTTGGAGGCCTGTTCCACTCTTAAGCTCTTCTTATGAGCATGACTTTCAGGGATCCCATATTGATTTTGAATCTGATTTCAGTTTCAACC